CCAGACGAAATTACTAGCAAAAAATGTGCGTATGTGTCAGCCTTACGTACCATACTTTGATAACCACTCATTTGGGCAAATGTATTCCTGTTAGAACAGCGTAAACATAATAAAACCAATTTTCGGTTTTTTGAGATCATCCATTACTCATTGACGTATCCCAATGTTTCTCGACCAGGGATCTGCAAATTGAATAAATTTTATTCGTTTATTTTTATGTTCTATTGCTGCAAGTTTTAAGCTTTTTCTATCATACGTTTTACTTCCGAATCAGAATAAAAATATGACAAAATCTATTTATTCTGCCTTATTATGATTTGCCTGTATTCTATTTAATCCCAACGTATAAAATTATTTTGTGAAAGAGGTACGCGGCACCAGAACGGTTCGGAGACACTGGCGTATCGATATTGTCTATAACAACCGTTTCATTTGTCTCAGAAACTTTAATGCAATTGAATAATTTCGTTCATGTAAGAATATGAGTATATTATATCTATCGTTATATTCAGCGTTCTAATGGTAGTAACGGGGCGTGTTTAATATGCATTCGAGACTTGCAAATAGAGATGACAGTACGATGGCGGAAAAACAGTGAGATCACCACGGGTTGCGTCGCGTCACTGCTCCAGGATCTGTTCTGAGTAGTTTAGCCTTCGACAAACAGGAATTGGTGTGTAGAACTTGCGAGACGAGGAAGTACGAATATTTTCCTTTCTCGCAACACACGCCCATGAGAGCCTTGAACCACCCAATTCACTGTCCAGGAGAGCTTCCTCTGGGTGTAAAGGCGGCCGGGGTGGGAAGCTGCCGTCTAGTCACCGTCCAGTGCAGTGCGAAGGTTATAAATGCATCTCCACGTCCCCTTTAATCCTTACGACGTCGTGCGAAAAAAAATAACTTCTTTATTACATGCTTCGTAATATAGTTAATGGTCTGTGTTTATCACTTCTAGAAACTATTGTTTTTAAGAATCCGAACGTTATGAGTCTCAACACTGCATCAGCGGATAAACTTTTTACATCACTTGCAGTGCGTGGGATTTTCTGTTCGCGTACAATCTTATCAGCGAAAAGATTCTGTTTTAGCTGGTGCCCGTTAAGTAGAAATCATGCCCACGGCAGCTCTAGTGAGTCTGACAAAAATAATGGACAGATCCTGTGCTAACACATGAACCAAAGGTTAAATGTAATGAAGTAAACTTTTGAAACCTCGGCTTCCAGTCCGGTTTCCTTTGACAAATGCTTTTTTCTCGAGCTTTGATTTATCACGGAATTATTTTCGCTTCTCACAGTGGGTGTAGCCGAAAAAAGATCCTTTCTGCATTTTAAAAAAGGCAACACAGTGCCTCGTCATCCCATTCCACGCCATGCCATTCTCCTGCCTGCAGTCATCTGTCTTAACTGTGGGTTAAGTTTTTTACCTACTAGCCCACTTCAATTCAGGGAGCTACTCGATACTAATTATTTCCCATTATAAATTAATTTCGGACATCCTTCTTTTGCGTCCTTTACCCTTGTTTTGGAGCGCTTGCAATGAAAGAACTAATTTCGTCTCCACGGGTTAATCCATACAACGCTATGGCTGAAAAACGTGAAGGGAATATATAAGTTGAGAGACGTTGTGGTAAGATTCGAAGATAATATTAAAATGGATCTTGGTGGTATGTTGTGAAAACGTGACTACTTGGATCTAGATTCTGAAGAAGGTCAAATAGCGGGTTTTGTGAGCACGGTGATGAACATTCGGATTTCGTAATAGAATCATTTCTTATCAACTGCTCAAGGAAGAGTTAGGATGTTACGTGTACCTGTCGGTGTTCGTAAATACTGCATTGGAAGTGGCTGCAGAGAGTTGCATTACCCACTGAACTAACGAGTGTACATAACCTTGAACTGTTCCGTGCAGGAGAAAGCGACGAAATGGCAGGAGAGTCGCGAAATCGACGGCCTGACGACTAACGGGGTCCTCATCATGCACCCTCGAGGATCTTTCTGCGGTGGCGAGGCGAAACACGGTCTGTGGCGAGAGGTGTCTGTCGGGGGCGGCGTGTTCTCCTTGCGGGAGTCCCGATCCGCCCAACAGAAAGGAGTGGTGGTGAGTGTTAATACCGCGAACCTGACGCCAACGCAGGCTATATGGCTTCTAAAGATGTAAGTAGTCTCCGCGTGTTACGGCCTTCCAAGTACTAACCTCGAAAACGCGAATGTCGTTTGGCCTAATCTGATCCATACAGAGGTAAGTGTTCTAAGTCTCAGTAATGGTCTTTAATAAAAGTGCTGTGAATGTTACGGATAAATTAAAAATGTTTAATAAAAAGGGACGGTTTCATGGTTACTGAAAATTGGCACAGCAGAAAGAACCTTCTCTGAGTTTGAGAGAAATGCGAAAGAGCTCAAACTCGCCAGTTTACGCGCATCCCGTGTCCTTGATCACGTCATCTCATCAGAGTCTGAATCCTTCCTGGGCTGTGCGACCTAGGTTCGATTTCTGGCAGGGGCTTGGCCATTTTTACTTCTCTCTTTGCCGCTACTACGTGCAGTCCGTATTTAGGAACCATCCAGTCTCTCTTTGAGCGTATATCGGGTAGTTATTTTCAACATCACAGTTTTGATTTTATAGTGCATGAGCAGACGATAGGAACAGTTTTTTAAAAATTCGACCGCGAGACATTTGTATGTGTGTTTCAGGTGGATGACGAGACCAATGTTCTTCAGGACGGAACCCTCATTGATCTCTGCGGTGCGACGTTACTCTGGCGGTCACATGAAGGACTGGAGAAATCACCGGTGAGTCGGATGGTACCCATTTGTTTGTTCATAGGAGAATCGACGTTTCGAAACGTAATGAATTTGTACTGCGTTGCTGAGATGTGTCATTAATGCTTTAGTATTCTGGGCTCGTTCGCAGATGACCATTTGCGTACAGAGTCCTTACACTGCTATGAACACGTTAATGAACCTTCAAGTTCCATAAATGACGTCGAATTTTGTGTCTAGCTGAGCGACTGTTGGATTATCAAGAGGGATGTTTTGACAGAGTAATGTACAAAGCACCTTGTTTTGATGTAAAATAATTAATTTCAAAATCATATTACGTTGTTCGCTCGTGGAAGTATGATTTGTGTTCCAATAAATTGATAGTGGAACCAGTTCCCTAGCTAACGTTGAATAACGTTTAACTGTGGAAGTATATTTGTACTGAAATAAAATTTACGTCTTATCTATACGTGACGTCATCCGCCGACAGCTTATCTATGTGTAGCGTCACGTACTCAACACACTCACTCTAGAACCGTTCTTTGTTGCCAAATAAATGGCCAAAACTCCTAAACCGTAAGAGTTTGCTAAAATCTGTTTGCAAATTTGAAAAACTCGTGTTTATTGACGTATTTCACTCGCAATATGTCCCGATCTAACTCTTACGTTTTAGACGTGGCAAGCGGTTGAAGTTAAGGAACGAGGGTTTAGTTATTCCATGTTTTGGGTAATTATTTCAATATGCATTATAGAATAAAGTAAACATCACGTAGAAAAAAGGCCTTTATTTACTCTTTAATTTATATTATTAGGTTTATATTCTCTATCTTACATAGGTCTCGAGTTATTGGCGTTTGAAGAAGTTACACACCAGCGTTACCTTACGTCTTACAGTTTCCGTCGTGTGTTACGTCAAAAATTCTCTCGACTACCGTCGTGTATCATCATTTCCAAACGAGTACAACCATTAACAGCTCTTAAAACTCATCTCAGCAGTTGGTCTTTTCTTTCCAAAACTCAGGTTTCGCTATTTGTGTGATTTTCTGACGTGTTCAGGAGTGACATTTGACTGCATCGCTTTCGCGTCGACTCTATCAAAAGGAACTTGTGCTCTTCAACGTCAGACCACCGCGTTTACTAGATATACAACGCAGTCTGACTGGTTGCTATGACTACAAGACAAGCAGGGTGTAATAATAGGTCCCGCGTGGTCATCCCTCGGAGACTCTGTTATCTTCTAACTGCGGGAGATGGGATATTTTGATTGCTTAGGGTAAAATGAATGACTTGTCACGGCCTGACCTCCTGCTTGGATTTAAAAATGGTGTCTGTGGCCTCTGAAATACTGATAGTCGTTATTCGCCTCGAAGCTTCGAGTCTTCTCAAAGGATCAAGGAAATTGCATGGATTTCCTTTGTGATGAAATTGTAATCTTGTTTTTACGTCCGAATGCAAGGATTTGGAGAAAAGCATTCTGTACTTGTCCGCGGGTGAGAGCACTTTTAGTGAAGTGATAAACTGTGGATTGAATGTCCGTAGTTCGATTTTCGACAGTGACGGATTTTCTGTCTTGTATCGTCCATGACCGCTCGTGTGACCTGTTTGATGAGACAGCCATCGAAACGACTGAAAATGTTACATTGAATGTGAACAGCATGTCTATGAGTACTGTTACAAAGTTTTTATCTCAGTAGTTGGATTCTGGTGAATTTGTAAGGGGAAAAGGTTGTCATAAAAATTAACGTCAAGCTATCTGCGCTGCTCCGACCGTAATAAACTTACATTTCTCTTTTCTGAGATCCTTTTTACCGTCAGAATAATGGAGGATGTAATCTGTTTGAGCGGTGTGTCGCATTGAAACATTTGCGTGGTCTTTGACCGCTTGTTGCAAAGCCACGATTAATAATTACGTGTTTTCTGATGTACAGAAAAAGTGTACCTGATTCAGTTTATGGCTTGATTATTTTTTTTGTTTTAATAAAGCCGTAAAATGGTGACATTGGTTTGATGAAGGTGTCGTAACCTCGAGTAAATGTGTGATTTCACGACAATCGTAAAATATTACGTCTACTGTCTTCGGGAGAAACATTCCTCTCTTCGGGCTGATAGGGTTTGATAAAGGAGGTTGCAGAAAACTGCAGTAATAGTCGACTTTAATTTCCCTAGGGAGTGGGTGGGATTCCCATTTGCAGTCGGAGTGAGGAGACATCTTTGTTAATATACTGTATTACTGTAATGAGTTATATTGAATCTTTAACTACAATAGTAAGCGCTTCAAACTTCATTAGTAGCCTCAGTTATCACTTTTCGTATCAAGAATTTTTGTTCGAAAACTGAAAATGAACTCGGCTTCGTCATTTTAATTCTGCGAAATAAAATTGATCCCGGTGCCGGGTTCTCAGAGAATCAGCTAATGAATAGGGGTGATGTTTTGTAACCCTTTCAGACATATAAAATAAGCCGGAATCCTCAGAATGATAATCTTTCAACCGCGTTCGCACACCTTTGATTTCACCATTCAGAGTCATTATGACTGTGGTGAAATTCAAGCACTTCCTTTCCACGTGGCTGGCATGCAAAAAAAAGACTAGTTGTCATAATGCCTGTCAATCCATCCATCTTTGTACAATACGTTGTAAGTTTGAGTAGTCGTTTCGGGCTGGGTATTTTGATGCATCTACAAGATTCTCGCATGTTTCGTAAAGTATTTTAAATCGCGTATTATGTTTTTCGTATTGAAGCCCTTTTATACGTAGAGCGTACCAGTAGTTCGGATTCTTCTTCTTTTTTTCCTCTCTTTTGCCTTCGTTTATTTCTCTGTGAAGTCGAAGTCGTCGTCTTAGCTGCCTGTAGTGTGTCAAACACTTTCAAAGCCAAACTTGTTTGTTTGTTTGTGAATTTATCTTTCCTTCGGGGTAATTCCTAGACTTTTCGTATCTGTGTGTTCAGCTGGACGTCAGACTTTTTCGTTTTTTTAACAAATTGTATAAGAAAATAAGTAAGTCACGGACCAGCCATCAATGCATTGGCTCTTGGCCTGAACTTCGAAACTGTGCGAGCCATTGGGTTTGTAGTTTCTGGACACTTTGTAGGTCACCCACGTGGTTCGATAACCCGTGATATGACTGTTAAGGTGTCATAAGAGAGGAACGATAACTGTGGACAGGAAATCAGAATTATTTTAGGGACAAAGTAGAATCACGAAAATTTTGAACGAGTTACTTCCCGACTGTTGACGATGTTCAGCTGGATTAGAATGAGAAATCGTTGAAGAGACCGGAATTCCAGAAACGGGAGAAGCCATTTTGCCCACCTCAGATTCATCTCGGACCGCGACTTCGCCGGGATCTCTCCTGCTTGGTACTTGACGGAGTTACCCACGCCTTCGGGTGGTGGAAGCTTTTTCGATCCAGACATTTCTCTACTTCCTTTCGCTTTCACTAGCAAGAAGTTTTCTGCACATGTTGGACAGTATTCCAGCATTCATACAGCGCGTGTTGTAGCGAATTCTTCATTTTAGATTGTCCCGCAAAATATTTTGAATGGAGACATTGTATTATGGGAATGTGCATCGTGTTGTATGTACTCGCATTGTTTTTCATGCGAAAACCATAGCAACTTCGTTGTCGTATTATGTTGACGACAGTGCTCTAAATACTGAGCATTCCGCTTACACAGCACGAAACAAATCAAATTGCTGTCTCAGAGGTGATCGCAGGAAACGCTATGACCGTGTGACGTATAGAAGATGTGTATCGAAGCAATCCTTTTGCGTTCGCCAGAATGTGACATTTGACCTTTTCGTGGATGTCTGTGGATTCCCCACTCAGGAAATATCTGACATTTGACCTTTTCGTGAATGTCTGGGGATTTCCCACTCAGGAAATCTATGACATTTGACCTTTTCATGAATGTCTGGGGATTCCCTACTCAGGAAATCTCTGACATTTGACCTTTCGTGAATGTCTGGGGATTCCCCACTCAGGAAATATCTGACATTTGACCTTTTCGTGTGATCGAGAAGTTCTTCCACACCCAGCCATACTGATGTTTCTTGTTCGTACATGTATGGGTCCTCTGTCCCGTGCTGTAGAAGCGTGCGACCCATTTCGTATAGCCTGTGTCGCAGAGTGTGGTAGTTTTTTATCGTCCTGTAAGAGACGCTCAGAGGCGTGGTGGGGTGGAGGCAGGGTATTTCAGTGGGTCGATATCGTGCCTCGTGCGGCTGGCTACTGTCTGTTGACATGTGTTCCGTGTGACGTCACGAGATGTGCAGCTGCGAGCACACCCCTCTGCTTTGTTTACTTCGTGCACTGTATTTTGAAAGGGGGTGTGTGTGGGTTGTTGTACTCTCCCAGGGTTTCACATCCTGGCACTTTGTATCAAGCACTGGATTGATTTCGTAGTTTATTTGTCGCTCATGTACTGCAGCCAAGGCGATGAGAATCCGACGTCCAGTTCCTCCGTAGTTCTGTAAGCACGGGCGTGGGTGGATTTTTTGGTATCTCGATCCAAAAACCTTCACAGGCTGTCGGCTTATAGACCGTGTTACCTAATGGTGTTGAATTAAGGATTGCGGAGAATATTTGTATAAACCTAGATGTAAATGACAGAACAAAACTACTGTAATAAGATATAAACTGAATTTTCCCCTCCCAATTGCCACTTATATGTGTTGTACGCCTGCTGCATGTAAAGTTGAGAATAGCAATATCAGTTGTGGTGGTTCAATTGTACTTATGCCCCTTATTAACGCTGCTGATTGACCTTCAAACCCCTCGAAGGAAACGTGCGACGTGAACGTTAACAGCAATACACTTTGGCGAACTGGACAAGTAGGAAGAAGCAAGGACCACCCACGTGTAACGGTATAAAAAGGTGACCTCCCCCGTTAAAGGATAGAGTTGTGAGTCACGTTTACCGTGTTCGTGAAGGAGGAACTAGTCAGGCTACGACATGACTGGAAGACCGTAATACTCAAGTTTTTGAGTAGTTTTCGGAGAAATATCTCTCTCTCTCTCTCTCTCTCCAAAGGAACTTAATTTGGGTGACCAGATAAATGCGCACGTGAAGAACGCCCACACAAAAATTCCGCACAGAAAAAAAAACCCACCGTCATAAATGCTCACACGGAAAAATATTTCATGCGGGCTTTTGTCATGGAACCCTTAATTTCACGTAAATCTGTCTTTGTTTTCGGATGTTTCATCAGTGCTTTTCAGATACGGATGGTCACTGTGAAGACCTAATGTGTGACATGAAATCCAGCATGCTCACCACTTTAATTCATTAACCCTTTACTGCGCGTCTGAAAATAAATTTTTCGTGCCTGATATATTATTAACATGTTCCCAAATTTAACCTATACATGACGTCATTTCGTAACCATTCAGAATACGCCTTCTGAGACGAAATTTTTGACCGTAATGAAACGTTGCCTGCAACGATGTCCATTGATTCGGATCTATATATCGTAAGTTAACAGTGACTCGGCAGGAATATGTGGCATTCACAGGATTATTTATGGATCCGTCTAACTTTGTTTTTGTAATTGCACTAAATAACGGTATAAAGAGTCTTAGTGTAGCTGTGTGATTATCAGTCCTAGAAGTGTATTTATTTGCTAGATAAAAAAGTCGAGAGTCTGGCCGTTTGTTGTGATTTTGTCTTCCTTCAGAATCCTGATAAAAACCGGAAGCTGGTAATAAACCTTACGTATGAAGGAAGTCCACTCATTGCTGATGGGCTCAGAGGCAGGTTGTTCGTAATAAAATGGCTCTCCAGATATAACCGAGTGAGAGTGAGGGACAGCGCACACGTTGTATCACAGTAGACACGAATACTTGTTTCCTTGATGGAAACGGAAGGCCTTCCTGTTGATTTACTTGCTTATTTAACGACGTTGTAAGTCCTCTCGTACATTGTAATATCATTACCATGACTACGAAATTCAGCGTGACATTAATGAGAATTTTTCTCTGGATTAATATTCTTTATTTAACACTGCGCTGTAAATATTGGTGTGACCAAAAAGCTGTGAAGGTAGGAATGAAAGCCCATATATAGTCGTCCTTTTGTTTCGCCCTTCCTGCATCCAGCTACGGGAAAAGGAAAACTAAATCATTAGCAACAGTACGACTGTAAAGGCCCGACATTTTAAATCGTTTTGCTGTGAAATTTAATTTTCCAGGAAATGTAATTTTTAACGAGCACAATGTTCATTCTCCTCGCCCCGTTTGCCTTATTTTAATTATTATATTATTATAAAGAAGGCGGGGTTAAGCGCGACGAGATAATGAAAGGACGTGTATATTCAGATTCTGCTGGGGAATAGCCACTTTTCTTCATTTTTGTCTTTGGAATCGAATAGAACTTTTCAGTATTTTCTATAGCGAAACCTTCGATTTTTTAGCTTTCTCACTGAAAACTGTGGATGCGTCCTGAAGTGATCGCTATTACCAGCTGGTAGTTCGTACTTCTTGGATCCTGCCCTGTTAAAACCAAAAAAAATTGTTTCAGGAGTTGGCTCTACTCCTCCCTTCAAGTGATTGGTTGCTATTTATTGGCACTTTTTTGTTCTGTGACAACGATCGGGTCGAACTCGGGACTTTTTCAGGTTGTAGGCTAGTACGCGAACCATTAGACCACCGAGATATTTTTTTATTTTATTTTTAAACAGTGCTAAACCAGCAACTCCACTTCCGGTGGTAACAGTGGTTTCCTTTTTTGTAACGCAGACTTTGAGGATTGCTTAGAGAGCCCTAATTTATAACTCATTTCTTCCTTGTTGCAGCCTCCAGTATTCTAGTCGTCGAATCTTTGCTCCATGTGTCTATTAGGGAATACCGTCAATGGAGAAGTTGCGTTCATGTCTCTGAAATAATTACGTAAATTTCGACATGCGTCAGTCGTTATGCACGACCAAACTTTTCCGGCCTTGAAAATCATTCAGACTAGCAATCCGTGTTGCAAGCTAAATTGATACACGGTGGCCAAGGAGAACGCGTTCTTTTTCACTTGAACTACAGGGAAGTTTTTCCCCACTGCCAGGACAAAGCGCGGTAACCGAACATCCGGAAGTCGTGGAGGATGTTAATGGGATGCGCTGTATCCTTTGCGTGTTTTAACGTGTTGCAGTGTGAATCAGTGCCCTGTGATCATCTGTAGGTTGGATGACGCACTCAAACCATGCTCCGAATCGCCGAAGCTCCAATGTGTTATTTTCATATAGTCTGAATTATACCTAGACCGGCCCTGGGTACCGGGGTCCTTTCCCGGGGGTTAAGCGCTGTTGGGGCGTGATGCTGACCACGCCCATCTGGTGCCGAGGTCAAGAAAGATGCAGATTAACTCCTTGAAGCCAAAAGTAATCCAGATGTATTTAAAAGTTCAGTTCCAGTCTATGTTTATTCTGTAAATTGTACGGAACACACAAATATGCTTCGAAGCTGACGTATGCATACGATTTGGAAGAATTTCAAAGGTTGTTTACTGATAATACAGATTTTATTGATTGGAAGTCTAATTTCAGAATTAAGATTTGCTGCTACATTGTGTTAATAATGTCTGTGTGAAGTGAATTTGGAAAGACAGAACTAACTGTTATAATTTTTTTCCTGTACATCACTTCGAGAGGCTTTATTACGTCAGGTTTTTAACGTTGAATAACGTTTGTAAAATCACGGTACACTCGCCGGTAACTGTAAGGTGGTGGCTGGTAACGCTGGTGTGCAACTTCTTCAAACGCCAATAACTCGAGACCTATGTAAGATAGAGAATATAAACCTAATAATATAAATTAAAGAGTAAATAAAGGGCTTTTTTCTACGTGATGTTTACTTTATTCTATAATGCATATTGAAATAATTACCCAAAACATGGAATAACTAAACCCTCGTTCCTTAACTTCAACCGCTTGCAACGTCTAAAGCGTAAGAGTTAGATCCGGACATATTGCGAGTGAAATACGTAAATAAACACGAGTTTTTCAAATTTGCAAACAGATTTTAGCTAACTCTTACGGTTTAGGAGTTTTGGCCATTTATTTGGCAACAAAGAACGGTTCTAGAGTGAGTGTGTTGAGTACGTGACGCTACACATAGATAAGCTGTCGGCGGATGACGTCACGTATAGATAAGACGTAAATTTTATTTCAGTACAAATATACTTCTACAGTTAAATGTTATTCAATGTTAACTAGGGAACTGGTTCCGCTGTAAATTTTATTTCTGTTTTTTTAAGATCTTGTTATAGTCCGTTGAATGTTTGTAAAAATTTGAATTTACTCTCTTGATTCTCGTAATGATATTTGATGGAAATTGGTTTTTAGAAATAATCGCAACATTTATGGATATTTAGAGGTATTATTTTAACAGTTAATAATCCATGGTTTCAGTATTGGTAGTAATAATGAACAACGTGAAGATTTAAAAACTAAGTTACTCGTTTGTTGTAGACAAAGCATCACTTGGAGACTCTGGTAGACGAGTTGAATGCCGGACGACCCCAGTGTCCTGTGGGGCTGAACACACTGGTGATTCCACGCAAGTTAACTCTGAGTATGAGCGATGAAACCGTGAATGAAAAGCAACAGCCCTACGTGTACCTGAACTGTGGTCATGTCCAGGGTCACCACGATTGGGGACAGGATAAAGACTCCAAGGACAGGCGTTGTCCGATGTGTCTCGAGGTACTGCAGCGTAAATCTTTAAAGAAAGAAAGAAAGAAAGAACGTTTCTTATTTATGAAAAAATTTATTTTTGTATCTTATGCAGTAGGCTTTTAATATTTTTTTTTCAGATGGGGCCTGTGGTAAAACTGTGCATGGGAATCGAACCGGCGTTTTACGTAGACGCCGGACCTCCAACATTTGCTTTCAACCCTTGTGGCCACATGGCCACGGAGAAAACCGTGAAGTAAGTAGAACCTCTCCGGATTTTTAAGAATACGTCGGAAGTTTTTTAATTCATTAATCTATTTTGATAATAATTAAAATTTCTCACCAGATATTGGGCCAACGTCGCTATTCCTCACGGCACCAACGGCTTCGATGCGGTATGTCCCTTCTGCGCCACGCCGTTGGTCGGTTACCCCGGCTACATCCGCCTTATCTTCCAGGATAACGTGGATTGAAAGCCGTACTTAAGTTGTCTGTTTGTTTGGTTTGACAGTTTTTAATTTATTGCCTAATCTGGCATCAACAGTCCAGGAGAAATTGCGTTGGAATGCCTTAACAGTGACAGCCTATAATGAAAACTTACGAAAATGTCTGCCTTATTACGTTGATTTGAAGGGAGACGCAGAAGTGTCGAAACAGTGACATTACGGTGTCTTAATTTTTTTTTATATATATAAAAGAATATATACTGTATATAATTTTCACAATTTAACTGATGTGTAGAAATGGAAATTAAAAGTGGTTAGGTTATTTATTACGTTTGAAAGGTTTCTTTCAGACGCTGATAGTTTTCCGTTCAGTCACGATTGAATTGATAAGACTGTTTAGATGTTAAGAAAGAAGAATAATATTACGTAAAAAAGTTATAACCAAAATATAAAAGTCGAGATCGTAGATGAGATGATCCCGTACCAGGTGGATGTTTTTTTTCTTCGTACATTGTGGAGTATCGTACGTAGTTCGGCGCTGGAATTCCGCTGAATCTTACGTATCGTGCCGCTGATTTCGGTACCAGAGGTGAAATAGATTCTTACGCGTTTCATCGCTTATTAAGCTGGCATCAAGACCATGACGTCTCTGCTTGGCACTCGGCGGTAATAGATTTATCGGGTTCGAGGTCGCAGTTGAAACATTTTCCAAGGCGGTTTTACGCTAATAAATTCGTAGAAAAGAAAAATTATCGAAGTTTATTGTTCTCATACTAATAGTTGAGCGCATATTTTGGTATTTCTTTGGATAATATTTGTTTTTATCGTAAAGTACACACTTTTCGTTGTTCCGTAACGGAATGGTTTCCAGTTCAAATATTCTGTTTTGCGCAAAACGAATTTATAGATTTTATTTACGTGACATCAAAGTGATGTTAGATAAAATTTTATGACCTAAGATAAACTTCATTTAATCACGGTTCAACGACAGTAACAAGGAAGTAAATAAAAATCTGAAAATGGCGAAGTGTTCCGTGAGATTTCGTAACGAGGCGCATATTTTAATTTTTTTCGGTGAAGTCGCAATTCTGCGATTCCAAAAAAAAGCAACGTAAAAGTGAGTTTCAATAGACTGTTGTGAGAACGATGATTTTTTTTAGTAACTTAGGGCACCAACATCCACAGCAGAGAATATATATCGAACACGGTCGTTGAATATTAAGTGAAAATGTTGTCGTCATAATATAAGTGGTCAGATCGAAACTCTCATCCGCGTATTCCTGGTAATGGACGTTCTCCGTGCTAATATGGCGATACCCGTCCATTTCTAGAGACGGCATGCGGGATGTATAAAGGAGTACGTAACACGTAAAGGCTGAAAGACTTATTTCTGTTTGAATGAGGACTTTGGAAGCTTTAACAGCGAACTACAGCACAAAATGGAGCAAAATCAGTCGAGGGTCATAATAGTCGTCTATAACAAAGAATAGCGCAAAGCAGTGATTGATGGTCAAAAAGAAGAATAATATTACGTAAAAAAGTTATAACCAAAATATAAAAGTCGAGATCGTAGATGAGATGATCCCGTACCAGGTGGATGTTTTTTTTCTTCGTACATTGTGGAGTATCGTACGTAGTTCGGCGCTGGAATTCCGCTGAATCTTACGTATCGTGCCGCTGATTTCGGTACCAGAGGTGAAATAGATTCTTACGCGTTTCATCGCTTATTAAGCTGGCATCAAGACCATGACGTCTCTGCTTGGCACTCGGCGGTAATAGATTTATCGGGTTCGAGGTCGCAGTTGAAACATTTTCCAAGGCGGTTTTACGCTAATAAATTCGTAGAAAAGAAAAATTATCGAAGTTTATTGTTCTCATACTAATAGTTGAGCGCATATTTTGGTATTTCTTTGGATAATATTTGTTTTTATCGTAAAGTACACACTTTTCGTTGTTCCGTAACGGAATGGTTTCCAGTTCAAATATTCTGTTTTGCGCAAAACGAATTTATAGATTTTATTTACGTGACATCAAAGTGATGTTAGATAAAATTTTATGACCTAAGATAAACTTCATTTAATCACGGTTCAACGACAGTAACAAGGAAGTAAATAAAAATCTGAAAATGGCGAAGTGTTCCGTGAGATTTCGTAACGAGGCGCATATTTTAATTTTTTTCGGTGAAGTCGCAATTCTGCGATTCCAAAAAAAAGCAACGTAAAAGTGAGTTTCAATAGACTGTTGTGAGAACGATGATTTTTTTTAGTAACTTAGGGCACCAACATCCACAGCAGAGAATATATATCGAACACGGTCGTTGAATATTAAGTGAAAATGTTGTCGTCATAATATAAGTGGTCAGATCGAAACTCTCATCCGCGTATTCCTGGTAATGGACGTTCTCCGTGCTAATATGGCGATACCCGTCCATTTCTAGAGACGGCATGCGGGATGTATAAAGGAGTACGTAACACGTAAAGGCTGAAAGACTTATTTCTGTTTGAATGAGGACTTTGGAAGCTTTAACAGCGAACTACAGCACAAAATGGAGCAAAATCAGTCGAGGGTCATAATAGTCGTCTATAACAAAGAATAGCGCAAAGCAGTGATTGATGGTCAAAGTAAAAGTACGTCGTAAGATGATAATGTACAGAAAATGAAACTGAAGTGACTTAATTGGGGGGGAAAATGCCCGTGACTGGTTGGTTGCGCGTGACGTTACATTTTATACGTCCCTGTTCTGGTAAAATGGAGTTCGTCTGCCGTTGACAATGATGGCGTCTCGCGCGAAGTAGCTGTAAAAATATTGTTCAGTGATTTCTTTTAATTTCTTTGTATTATTATAATAATGATTTGGTTAGCGAGTCTATTAGTAAAGGTATCGCATAGTTAAGTATGTTTTTTTTTTGAGTGCATTTTGTAAAAGTTAAAATTAGCCATTTGGATCACAAATGTAGATATATATTGCACATGGCTTGAATGTAAAAAAAAAAATTGAATATTTATAAATAAATTACGTGTCACAATTATTTTGCATATTGACTGGTTCGTGCAACTATTTTTTCACGCGACTGATAAAAATCCTTGAAGATGTTGATAGAGATAAGGAGCGGGAAGAGTGAGGATTTAACGTAATTGCCATATCAAGAGAAAAAACACTCGTATCGTAAACGTACAGTTAAAATTGCGATGACGAAACTTTTTGGTATTGTATGGTTTTATAAATAATACTGGATGTTGATGCATCGGTAAAAGTTGAATGTGTCTGTGAAATATCTGATTTTCTATTGATTTCTATGGATCCTCATGAAGTTATATCGACGTTTTCGTGGGGTATTATTCTGTTCCCTTGCCTTCAGTTCCGTCACTTTTCACAACTAATATCATTCACACTATCAACACTGTAGTTGATAGAGCGGTGTTAAAGTACGGTGTCGGACCCCAAAATCTGGAAAGACCTAAATATCCATATTTTTTCTCGTCTTCAACTAAGATGTAATCTCGGTTCGGTACTTCCGGAGTGCAAAATAATGATATATCGGTAAGAATCTGAAGACATTTCGTCCGTGTGAAACTTCATCTACGTACAGATCCAGAATCGTAAAATATGAAAAGCTTTTAATTCCTAGGCTTTCCAGACGAGGGGTCCGGTACTGTATCTCTGTTAGTCGTGGAACATTTTATATTTTTGACTTTGTTCAAACATACATTCCTTCAGAAAGTACAATAAATGAATTTAACAGTGACTGTGCCCCCGTATATATAAAAGGTAGAATTGGAGTCGAAGTACAGACTCGTGTTGGCACGCGAAAACCAAGTATTTGATCTTTGCACTGCATTCCAAACGTGATTAGAGAATTACAATTTTAGATTTTTGTTTAAAATTGTTTTTTAATCTACTTCCTTGTTCACGTATTGGTTTTATTCTGTTTGTTGGTCCACCCGTTATTTTACTCGTATGTAAATTACCCAAGCAAAATTTTGACTGACACATCTCAAACTAAAGCTCGTGCTTTGAGCTTTATGGACACGTTCTTTCATTTCTGCAATATTTTGGTGTTTTATTACCACATTAAACACGTTTATATTTAAAGTACATCTAAAATCGAATTCTTAACTAAATACAAAGCGGCTTTCATGATCAGTAATTACGAAACCCAAAATTTGCTTGACAGCACGTTAGGTTAGGTTAGGTTTGGTTTGGTTTGTACTTGCCATAGTTGGGGTTGGTTCTAGTGAACTGTTGAGAGTAATGTACAAGGCTTTAATTATGGTGAGTTTGTGTTTATGTCGAAATGTGGAGTTCTGTAATAAATGGTTTAGTTGTAGCTTGTAATGACTTTGTATTATATTTTATTTTAACCCTATTTGTTATGTCGTCCGTGTAGTCTGTTGTGTGAAGTTGATAATCTCTTACTCTGCCCCTAATATAAAATAAGGTTGCCAAAAAATATGGATATCAGGATTGTTAGAGTATTTATTCTATTTTATCCATAAATATTTGTGATTCAGTTTTTATTAAATAAGAAGAAATTAAACCAGCAGCTGAAATGACCTGTTTCTTATTTAAAATTCAAAGAGAATAGAAAATATTTACGTCGTAACTCCTCGGTATTATAATTCATTTCTTGGACACAAGAGGCGCGTAGGTCGCTGCGAAGAATTACGGCCTCTTTTACGTAAAACAAAAATGGTCGAAGTCTTAAACTTGTTATAAAATTAGCTCTGTGCAAGTATTTGGTAAGTTTATGTGAAAATCTCACATTTTAAAGTACTATATCATCTTTCAATTGTGTTTCTATTTGAAGTTCTTTTAGGATGGAGTGTGTATAAACCCTATAGTGAAAAAATGCATTTAAATTTATATTAAAATGTATTAATTTGTAGAATATATATATATATATAATAATTAAAATCGCAGTTCTTGAAGACTGCATATTGCAGCATAGTGATTCCAAACTCTCAAAAAACATTAAGGACGTGTGCAAAATAAAACGTACCAATAAGGATTTCACTGTTGTTTTGATGAACTTGTTGTTACAACTGCCAGTAAAACCTCGATATATCGACATAACTGGACGGCCAAACTTTTTGAGTTCGTTATGTAAGAATTTATTTTATAGAAGTTGAACCTGCGTTTTGTTTTGTGTCTTGTCAAAGAACTTCATTGTAGGGACACAGATTGCAGGTATTGAGGATATTTGGGCCCAGGAGAGAATTGCGTAAAGACGAACTTAAAAATCTGTACTCCTCCCCCAATATTGTCAGGGTGATTAAGTCGAGAAGAATGAGATGGGCGGGGCATGTAGCGCGCATGGATGGGACAAGAGGTGTGCAACGGGTATTGGTTGGGACGCCTGAGGGGAAGAGACCGCTGGGGAGACCTAGACGTAGATGGGAGGATAATGTCAGGCGGGATCTATGGGAGATAGGAGTCGAAGGAAACTGGATTTTGTTGGCCCAGGACAGGGTCCGGTGGAGGGCTTTTGTTAATTCGGTGATGAACTGATGGGATATATTGAAACAGCTGTGCAGTACAAGCAGCGTCATTTAATTGATATTCTCTTGCCTATATACATAACAAAGTTTAGCATTTCGTATATACGTAGAATATTATTATGGTACTATTAATAGTTTCGTATGTTGTCATTGCCAGATGCTTAAACAAAAAGGTATTATTTTTATAAAAAGAATAATGTTATGCTCTGAGAGATTTTTATTAACGTATTCGCAAAACTGCTTCAGGACATTTTGGAGGCCAGAAGATCCATCAACTGCTTGTAGCGTCTGTTGAACACTTCAGAGACATCTTTTGGATCGTGCTGCAAATACAAACCAGTTTCATCGTCGTAATATTAGTCATTCGTGTACGTGTATTTTGTACACACAAACATGATTCTGATTATCATAGAAATTTCAGTCGCCAAGTGCTTATTCCTGCACCGAGAAGCCCAAAAATGCATTTTTTATGGTTGCGAAATAGCAAGCCTGACTGCAATACCAGACCATGTGCCGAGATATTCGAGTAAATATACTCGACTGACCTGCATGACGTGTACGCCTCGCAACGTAAGGATCACAAACTCTTTCACGCCGTCACCTGTTACATCCAGATAGAGTATGGAATGGATCGGATTGGCAAAACTGCGCTGACTTACGAGCGACCACGTTCCTGATTTATCTGTACAACATTCTTGGTATTTGTACGTCAGTATTTCCTGTACACAAAAATTAATATTAGTTTAGAGAAACTTCCTGTTTAAAGCACCTTCTGATAAGAACTTTCAGCGCTCACCTCCTCGGATGTGCTCACGTTTTGATCCGAGTTCAACCGACGTTATAAGTTATTACGTAAGTTGATTTATCTTTGTGCATAATTTCAGCTGTGAAGTTCTTCAATACCTGGAAGTTGCTGCAACATTTTTTGGACACAAAAAAATTTGTCGTAAATATTCACCGACGTGTTTATATCCCATCATCAGTACCTGTGACCAAGTATAATTTATTTTCCCTTTCTGTCATTCTCGCAAGAAAATAACTGACTTAAAACTAAACCAAGTACTAGTAATCGAAACCCGCAGTAGCACAGATCAAAATGTCGTCATCACCTTTGTACTTTGGCATTGAATGAGACTCGAAACTGCAACATCGGGCGTGTTACTTCATCTGTTGTCCTGTTGGATTTATAGATGGTCGGATTAACGAAGTTAAATTTAGAATCTTATAAGAAATACAGTAAAAAAAATTTCATGTAACTACATTTCATTATATAAAATTTTTTGCTCAATTTTTTTAATCGAGCTGATATTAACTTACGATTACATTTAAAAAAAATTAATATTTCTTAAGAGTGTCCATGATGAAATATATATACATATACAAGAATTTAGAGAGAAACTGGCGTCATAAATTATTATTGTTCTAATATTGTTTGTTAAGTCAAATAGTCTCGCCTGGCCGTAAGTTCCCAGTAAAATTTCGTGTTTTCCATCCATGTCCACGTCTGCGATGGTAGAACAAAGAACTGCGTCATAATGATCGCTGTCTGGTAGGGTGAAACAGTCGCTCAAATCTCGCTGCAGCACATTCCTGCCAAAAAATACAAAACAATTACGGCAGCCAGCAATAATAATCAATCTCCAGTTATTCAAATTGACCCTTCCGTCTCCTCTCCCCCCCCCCCAAGCGCCTACATGGCGTATAGTGGGACAGCTTTACTTTACTTACCTTCTGGAAAACAAGTATATATATATATATATATATTCATCAATACTATCAAGTCGCTCCGCGTGGGTCCTGGGGACATCATGGTTAGTTTCGATGTCGTGTCCCTCTTCACCATGGTACCCGTTGGTGATGCCCTACGTCTCCTGGAACGGCACTTCGATGGCGACGTCTTGAGGCTGTTCCACCTGGTACTAACCTCTTCATATTTCAAGTTCGGCGGCCGGTTCTACGAACAGACCGACGGGGTGGCTATGGGTTCCCCACTATCACCTGTCATCGCCAATTTCTACATGGAGAACTTTGAAGAAATGGCGGTGGACGGGGCGACCTTCAAGCCCCTCTGCTGGTTCCGTTACGTAGACGACACGTTTGTCATCTGGCCCCACGGCCCTGACAAGCTCGCGGAGTTCCTCAGCCACCTCAACAGCATTCACGAGAGCATCCAGTTCACCATGGAGACTGAAAAGGACGGCCATCTCCCATTCCTCGACATAGACATTCACCGGAAACCTGACGGCTCATTAGGCCACAAGGTGTACCGGAAACCAACCCATACCGACCTTTACCTCAACTCCAATTCCCATCACCACCCGTCCAACAAACAGGCCGTGCTCTCGACCCTGGTACACAGGGCTAAAGCCCTTTGCGACCACGACAGCCTACAGAGTGAACTGGAGGCACTCCCCACCACCTTCAGGAAAAACGGATACAGCAACCGTCAGATTCAGAAAGCTCTCAATCCGCCTGCGAGGCTGCCACCGCCTACTGAAAAACCAGCCTCGGTTGCCTTCCTGCCCTACGTCGGGACGACCTTCAACCGCATAAGCAGGTTGCTGGCCAGGCACGACATCAAGTCTGTTGGTCTTCCGCCAAAGAAAATTCCCAGTTTTCTCCGGCCGGTAAAGGACGACCTAGGACTGAAGACGCCTGGCGTATACAGAGTTCCCTGCGAGTGCGGAAAAGTCTACATCGGCCAGACAGGCCGTTCCGTTGAGGCCAGGATCAAGGAGCACGAACGCCACATCCGGCTCGGGCAGCCCGAGAAATCTGCGGTTGCTGAACACCGCTTCAACTTGGAGCACAAGATACAGCTAGAGGACACTTCTATCCTCTCCTCAAAAACCGGCTACATGGACCGGTTAATCAGGGAAGCCATCGAGATCGAACTTCATCCTGATAACTTTAACAGGGAAGATGGCCTTCACCTGAGCCGGTCCTGGAAGCCTCTGATCCACACACTCCGAGGACTCCGAGAACGAGCAAGAGTCCGCCGCCAGAACCAACCAGACCACTAGAAACGTTGGTTAACATCGACCAGACTACACAGCGCAACAACCCAGAAGACAGAAATCTTCAAGTAAATATAAATTTTAACGTGAAACTTACATATAGACAACGGACGGTTGCAAGGTGTTAGAAACTAACAGATGCACGGCCATTTCTTCTTCCTCTGTTTCCTGTTGTGGCGTATTAAGAAAATCTGGGGGTTTCAGATTAGATTCTTCGGTGAACAGACGAACTGTAGATACTGGACCTCCAAAACGTACCGACCAGCATGAAAGTACTACTTTCTTGCGCGCATCTACAACCGCTAGCTTAACGTATCCACATTCACAGCCAAATGCTGACACGTGACTGGAGATAAAATTAAAAGCAAGTCCATTAATTTAAATAAAATGAGCACTTTCCATTTTGAGACGTAAATTATATGTAGAATTTGAGTTTTCTTCACAGTAAAACAAAAATTCACTTCATACCGTGTTTCAGTTTTGCAGTGATAGATATCCATCCATAAGATGATGCTTGGGGGTTCAACGAGCTCAGGGAAATGATCGGCGACGTCGACCTCGCTGTAACAGTGGTTTGCTCGATCTTCCCGGAACATGTGAATTTTCTGATCACTCCCAGACAACAGCCACACAACCTAACAATTTATATTTATTGCTAAGTTTGTATAGGGAACACAAGAAATACATTCATAATTTTGGTTGGAAAACCTCATGACAACCAACAGACTGCCAGGACTATTTTTAAAACGGGAATGTGAACTGAATAAGATCCATTGCGTAATTTATCATTAGTTCTAGGCTTACTGGAATGTTGCCACATTAAACTGACCGGGGAACAACCATGAAGATGGATACGGACAAAGCAAAATCTGGCATCATCTCTTCTTAATCGTGTGGCTGCAAAAACATTTTTCATTGCCCCTTGTAACTACGCGGTTGTCAAAACTTCTTTCGTATCAACGTATTTTATTTATTTAAAGTTGTCACGTACCTCCTTATTTGACTCGCCCTCTGCATCGGTATATATTTCAGTATGGTACAGCTGGTATGGAATAAAATCCAACTCGATCATCAAACAGCTCTGAGCGACGCTGTCTAAATTGATCTCGGAACTGGGTTCCCACTCAGAGTAAATGTTCAGGTATGTCTCTGTATTGTGTTCGCTTGGCTGAAGTTAAAAGAAGTAGCAGTTATAGAGATGAGTTGTAGTACTTTCAATCTGAATTCACCTCAGCCACGTAGTTTATTTAATAGAATACGGAATCAAGTTATTACTTAAAGATGGTGATGCTTCTGGAACCACGTGATTTGTTGGCAGTGGTAGTGTTTCCATGATAACAACTCATTCCATAAAGTAGAGCCTTTCAGAATCTAACAATCGCTCGACTAGTCAACAATAATTCTTCGCGTTTCACATTGACTTTTATTAGTTATGTTGGTTATAGTTTATAATGTTAGACATTACTCCCTGGTCTTTTGTCCACTTCTAAAAATATCTTTACATTAGTCTTAAGCGGCCCATCCACGTACGAGTCTGGCTCGGCTCGGGTTCCATCGAGCTAAACTAGTTTGTGTGTGGGGTGTCACGAGCCGAGTCTGCTACGCATGCGCGGTGAAATATATCAGAGCCCGGCTCACGAGTCAAGCTCGCCGAGCCAGACTCTTACGTGGATGGGCCGCTTTACAATTTTGCAACACTTTATATTCCAAAGAAAAATCTTCACTCTCTTGGACCCTGATTGCAGTAAATACGTTCCCTAATAATAAGCAATATTAATTCCATGAACACACCTTTATAATTGTGATTCCTATCACAAAGTCATCACTTGATTGAGACCTATTAAATGCATCAATTGAAATAATTTCTGTTCCATCTGAAAAAGAATAAATCTCATTAAAGAGACGCACTACAAAGTGGTAGTTCAGTGATGTGGGTGGGAAATTTTTTATGAAAAATATTAGAAAGCATTTCAGGAAATTTTATCTTTATTCAAAAGAATCACCCAACTTAGAAAGTTTATCAATGTACTATATTTTTTTAACACATACACAGCTGAACAAGTAAAAGTCTTACAGCGTTTAATGTAGCACATCTGGTTGTTTTGTTGCCTGCTAGATATTAATTAATTTTTGTTACTAATTAATATAAAACACCAAAATAAGGACTGCATATTCAAATTAATTGTCTTTGTATTACATAATATGCGAATGACTTCTTAACCAACAAGAAATGATTTCCAAAAAATTTTCCCATAAAAATCTTTCCGGAGAATCAAATGTCTGCAAAGCCATTAATGGCTCTGGAATTTAAATAAGTGAATAACCATCAGTAAGGATTTACTTACTTGGAATGTAAGTGAATAACACTTCTTTCACGGTCGGTTTCAAGAATCCGTCAGAGTCCCCGGAATATTCAAATGAGAAAACTTTACGGCGAAGAGATGCGGCAAGAATCTTGTTTGCACCATTTGACATACAGAGTTTGGTGAGCGAATACACATTCCCTTGAGAGGGTAACACAAAATAATGTGCATCTATTACATTTTCCATTGCTCCTTTTGATATGGCCATCCTGTAAATAGTTACCACAACAAAAGAATTCCTCAGTAAAACATTCACAGGAAATTCTCCGCTGTCATGTTATAATTACGACATAGATGGAGGTAAACCTCTAAAAGAGAGGAGAATCTGAGAACTTTGGACAGATCCAATAACACATCAGCACAGGACGTTCATATCTATAAGATTATATTTGTAATGGACACCGAGATAATTCTGTTCGGTCTTGCCTGACAAATTTCTCATTCACATAATTTAAAAATCTTATTACTTTCGATTATAATTATTTTCAAAATTTCATCTTAAAAATTCCCTTCCATAACATAAGATGTTGTCACATAGTAGCACTTCATCTGTCGTGAAAATATAGGAGTGTTATAAACATATATAAAAGACACTAATGCCATACGTGTTTCAACCTCAAGAGGTCATCATCAAGGAAATTAATTAATTTAATCAAAAGGTTTAAATTGGATTTAGAAAATAAATAATGAATAGGGTGTATCACAAAAGTATTTCAAGCGACACTGCACTAGATGTTGTTATTCACAGATTCCGGAGATGTGATGTAACAGAGACGAAGCTCCTGACTTAGAATTAAAGGCATAAAAATGTGCTGCTTGGGTTACCACATATAAAAATTAATCCCCAAAACTAGTTACTTAAAGCACAATGACCTGAAAATCATTCCGTGAGCAGCGTTTTACGAAATGTATAGAATTTTATCCACGGTAACTGAAATGTACAAAGAAAGTAAATAAAATAATTATATATAAAATGTATAATCAATTATTACATGAAAGTATGTGCTACACCATTTGCATCCATATTTTAAAAAAAAAAATTAGGAGGAATGACTGCGTAGAACAACTCTGTCCCTTTAATTGGGTATTTTACACGATTAAGACAGGAAACGACTGCAAACTGCCTAAGTAAGATTTTGATACATATTACTCCTTTTAAATTTTATACTGAAACATTATAAATATTCATGGCCCATTTTTTCTCAGTACAATATTACTGAGAAATAATTACCCACTTTACGAATATATGAAGTTATCATATATTTGAATTTTTTTGGAAATAGTACCAAGAGTTAATTTAATTTAATTAAAATATACATTTTTCATTTTGAGATATAAATTCAGCGTAGAATTTGATTTTCATCACAGCTTTTGATTTACTTTGAGCAACAAAAAGCGGACAGAAATCATGACAACCGTTGTACGTCAAATTTAAGAGCTAGAATGTTTGGGCAAAAAATATGGGTATCTCGGATCCAGATTAGTCAATGTTAAGTTTGCAGCTGACGATGCAATTCTGGGGGATATTTCCTGCGGACATCTTCTTGCTACTCATTCCGCTCTAATAGCTGTACAAAGTAAATTTATAGAAATTGCTTGGTTTTGTTGAATATAAACTCAGAATAACAATATTCAATCTTCGGTTCGGGCTCTAGTCATGGATGCTACTAAACTTTGCCTGATGCATTAAATGTGTGGAGTATGACCATAAATTAATCTATTACATCACTAGTTACCACAGTTTCAAGTATTGTAATGTAAGGCCTTCGAAGAGTATTTATGACAGATGTCAAACACATAAAATTAATAATAAATATCATTAGATTTATAAATATTTTACACATTTCCCATTTTTATTTTTCTATGTATTTGAGTCTATTTTCTGGCTATATGGAGCATGTGTCACTTCTGCAGTTAATTCTGAATATACTGTATTTTTAAATTGTCTTGACATTACTGATGTCTAGGTATGAACTGTTATATGTATACCAGAGTAAAAAAATGTTTTTTGAACATAGTTTGTCGAAGTAAACAAATCAAACATGTTATTACATACATTCTTCCATTAAGAAGAGCTGCGTGTCTTACAAGACACCAGTCAGAAATTTTACTGGAAACTCAACCACAATGAACTTGACGGTTTTAAAACACATCAGTCTTAGCTGTCAATCGAGACTTTTTTCATTTGTCACTGACCTGGACAAAATTCATCTTACTGTACAATTAAATCCACGGAGGAATCCTTGAAATGAAAATATTATCGTAAAGAAATATCCTCGTAAACACACACATCTCTCTTGAGCGTTGAAAACATCAGAGTTCATGAAGATTTCTGTCTTCTGGGTTGTTGCGCTGTGTAGTATGGTCGATGTCCACCGTTTCATTGCCCTGATGACGGAGGCAGTATCTCTGAAAAGTTGGTAAACATCGACCATACTACACAGCGCAACAACTCAGAAGACAGAAATCTTCATACTCACCGCTGTGAAAACCTCAAATCTTACATCAGAGTTCATACTTCAGATATTAACAGCAAGTTTCTCAAAAGAACGGACACTTCCATGTCTTTTCGCAATGTTTTATCTATATGATGCTCGCTAATAAGAGCATAATGGAGACAGGTGTAACAGCAGTTATCTATAATCAGCAGCCATTTTGACATTATCTCTAATTGTTATAGCAAGGGCAGAGAAATACTGTAGAGTTCTAGGTGAAGATCAAATAATTGTTAGAAAATTTCTACTTACTGAAATCCCATGCATGATCACACAAACTACATACAAACAATTCATTTAGAAAACAAATGCAAAATAATACAGCTTTGTTTAGAATCATTGCCTTTTCAGGAAAATTACACCCCCACGCCCCAGTGAAATTTCATTGTCAGGGGCCACATCGTCCTACTCTTAAAATATTTACCCAGCAGTAAAGGCAGCTGAAGCAAAACACTGTTCATGATTGTGAAAAGATTCAAAATTGCCTCCTGCACCTTTATGACACGGTGGCTTTCTTTTTTTTGCAGAAATGCTTATCAATATAGTTTCTATTTATTGTCTAGGTTAGATAATGAAAGTCAGTTATCGCTGTAAAAATCAAATCAACTGCAAAAATCTTGTAGCGACAGATTTTGTGTTATTAATGTAGGCCTAATATTAAGAAATGTAAAGTTACAACTGTGCAAAAGAATTTTAATTTAGTACATGAGCTAATGAACATTAATTATGTGTATATATACTTATTCCCGCCTTATTTCTGTAAGATCCATTTCTTGTTCACGTCACTATCACTGTAAAATGGGCCAAAACCGCTCTCTGCCCAATCCTACCAAATTTATATTTAATATTTTTGTCCTAATAGTTGCTTGTATCCATGAAACTTGTAAGTAGTACAGAAAAATTTTCACCGTTCCCTCAGTGAGTCCAGCAAATTACAATTCTGTAAGAGGTATGTCACCATAAACCACTATTGCTAAAAATAAAGTTTATTTTTTTAAGTTAATCAACTTGTCACCTACTTAAACTTCAAATTCCGTATTTTCTCCAAGGCCACAGACTGTACAACTCAGGTCAAGATTTGAAAAGTTGGAAACACTGCCTTAGTGAGTACATTTCTTATACACTACAAGCTTCAAACAAAAATAGGTACTTGTGGGTTATCGGGACACATCACTTTAAAAATAGGTTAGGTTAATGTGTGGATAAATTACATATACTTGAAAGTTATTATCCACACAGATTAACCTAACCTAACCTAACCTATTTTTATACTGATGTGTCCTGATAACCCACAAGTACCCAAAAAATACCATCTTTATCATCACAGTTATAGGTACTTGAAACTGGGTTACCACTGAACAAGATCAAAAAGACAAGAAGTATAATTTGTAGCCTAAAACAGTAATGCATTGCTTATTATACAGTTCCAAGTTGAGCCACTGTAATAAAACCCTCAACTTATCCTATTACATATATATGTAAATACAAATACCAACATGGGTGAAATATTCGTTACATTTCCATTTTTTAAAAATGAGCTTCCAGCATCCCATTGACTTCATTCTTTTAGCATAACAATGCTTGATACTTGATTTTGCAGCTAGAGAGGGCAGAAATCACATGCGACATGTTACATGTCTACGATGATGCAGTAAGAAAACTATTTTCATGATGGTTTTGTCTGAGGTACATGAAGTTGCTGGAAATATTGCAAAGCATTTAGCGCTGCCTCTAACCCAACATTATATATAGGATGTACTGGTGCAAGCTCATTGTTTGAACTGCCTACAACATTTGGTTTTCCACGTACAAAATGCTGAGCTACTGATAGGCCACTAAGCGTATAACACGTGTGGTAGATGTCCCGTGGCTTTGTAGGCTTATCAACGAGGCCCCCTGATGAATTTTGACAGCAAATCAAGATGTATTCTTGTAGAGCTTCCTGATGGAATAACCACTGTTCCATGCTTACTGCATTTTCATCTTCTTGCACTAATATTCTATGGAGCAAAGGAAATGCTCCACCCTGCCAGAAAGAGTAGCAGCCATCTACAAGCTTGTTTGTACGGCCCTGAAAGCCGCCTTCGAATCGCATTTGGCGGTTCACAATCCACCGCAGGAAAGACTTGATGTCACAGAGTTGCTCCTTCCCTAATAGCGAAAGCGCAGCCAAACCACAGAACGCATAACCACCATGAGCCTCCATACCCGGTGACCCAGAGAAACCCCCCTCGTAAGTCTGACAGCTGGCAATCCAATTGGCTGAGTTATCAAAGAGGGCATCTGTATATATGTTAGTAAGCCTGGCAACAGCTAATGCACAGTATACCCCTCTAATATCTACTTCTCCCCCAGAATGCATTTGGAATGCACCGTCAGGAGAACGGACAGACCAGAGAAATTTTTGCAGCTTTTCCCTGTCGATTATGTTATATGCTTCCTCTGTTCCCAATGTGCAAAGTGCGTTCACTGCTGCATAGGTAGGTGCTAAATGTGCGAACTGCCCTGGACCTCCAGCAAATCCACCATTTGGGCTTTGACACTTTCCAAGGAATTGAGCTATCTTAGAGATATCTTCTGGTACCAAAGTTTCATCTAGCAGTTCCAGGGAATGTAATATCCAGTAACATAGCCATGGACGACTAGCATCTAGACACTGGTAAGCATTGGGCAAATAAGTAAGAGACTTCTTAAGAAAAGCAGCATGATTAATTCTTAACAGATTGGGTGCATCTATATCAATTTCTACCATTTTGGAAAACAAATCAAAAAGTTGCTCTACAGATTCCTCCACCTTCATCTGTTCTTTAGACGTTAGTGTTGGACAGTTTTCATCCTTAAACCTCTCTTTCTTTATAGCTTCAAAGGATCTAACATTTGCTGCCATGCTGAAGGAACAGCTTACTTGAACTGTTATTCTGGTATCTTGATCCTTGAACACAGTACACCTAAAACAAGCACACAAAAAGCATAACAATCCCATACATGGTATAAAAGTAAATTGTTCGCTTTATTAACTTCTGCTCCTAAAATAATTCTTATAAAACAATGTTCTCTGTAACTGATTTCAATGTATGCACATCAAAATATCAACATGATTTAGGCCCTAATCAATTTTTACCATAGAGATTACGGTGCACTTGTGGACTACATGCACACTAGAATTCTCAACAATTTCTATTCAATATGAAACTGAATTTTATTGTTAAATTTGTGATATCATCTTCATTAAATTCTTAATCTGAATTTTTATTCCAAAACATTATTTGGTACACCTGACAAAGTTCTCACAGCGAGAAACTTGTTTAAAAACGTTGAAAGATAACACTGCATTTCCAACTATAATTGTATCGGAGAAACAGAAATACACTAAGTATAAGTATAGTACCTTTAAATTGAATATACTTATATATTACAATTTTGTCACCTTACGCCATATTAGAAACAATGACCAAGCGATAAAGTGTTGCCAATAACTACACATTGAAACTACCCATCCATGAAAATTAACTGTACGTTATAAATTATTTTATATTGTGAAAATACAGTCCCTTTGCTATAAATGTGAAAATTCTCATCAATAATGTGTGTTAACAATATTTGATGTTGATGCTAAATAAAAATGACGTTGTCGCCTTCGTTGGTTATGTTGGATATTTATACAGAAGTGTTACAGGCTAAACTACAAACACGTTGTAATTCCGGAACTCGATCTTCAATTTGAAATATAAATCTTTTCGAACAGTTTGGATATTATAGAGTTTGGTGAGTTCGTTTTTGCAGTTATATTTGATGCAGTGCACAAGTAGGGTAAGTATTTTGAGACTGAATAAAATACGTGTCGTAGTAACATAGGTTTAAAGGTTAATGTTATCACTAATCCCGTAATTTTGACCTACAGCACTGTGATAAATGGATGACCTAGCCCATTCTATGGATTTATGTTCCATCCACAATCATGAGAGGACGATAATTCATATAGACATTGATTGCTTCTACGCTCAAGTTGAGATGATCAAGAATCCAGCTTTAAGACATTGCCCGTTAGGGATTCAACAGAAAAATATTATTGTTACAAGTAATTATGTAGCACGAGAATACGGGATTCAGAAATGCATGCTTATTAGTGAAGGTTTGCGATTGTGCCCACAATTGGTGTTGGTGCGAGGGGAAGATTTATATGATTATAGACAAATGTCTGCCAAAATTACAAGCCTCTTACACAGGTTCAGCCCTCTAGTCGAAAAACTTGGACTGGATGAAAATTTTGTGGACGTTACAGATTTGGTTGCCGAAAGACTAGAGGATAGTACTGACCAAAGAATTGTAGATGGTTGCGTATATGGTGATTTGAATGAGAAATGTGAATGTGGTTGTAAGAAAAGGTTATGTATAGGCTCCTGTATTGCTGGTGAAGTGAGAAGTGAAATTTGTAATATATTAGGCATAACCAGTTGTGCTGGGGTTGCTCATAATAAGCTACTTGCAAAACTGGTGTGTGCAACCCATAAACCAAACCAACAGACTACTGTCTTTCCCTGCAACTCTTTGGCCTTGGTGTCAAGTCTTCAAAATGTTGGTTGTATTCCTGGCATTGGCCACCGCATGTATGAAACTTTGCAGTTTCTTGGTATTTCAAGTGTCACAGATCTTCACAATTGTGATCTTACATCTCTGCAGGAAGCTCTTGGCAATGACATGGCCATCAAAATCAAGAAACTTTGTTTTGGTATCGATGATTCACCTGTAAAACAAACAGGTAAACCTCAGTCTATTGGGTTGGAGGATGGTTTTATGAAGGTATGCTTAGAAAGTGATGTGAGAGATAAATTAGCAACTCTCTTACAAAGACTATTGAAATTATTTTCTCACGATGGTAGAATTCCTGGCTCAGTCAGAGTAACTGTACGCAAGTATGACAGTATACTGAAATATAGTCACAGAATGAGCAGGCAGTGTAATGTAACTGCATCTTTTTTTAGGAATAGTGCTTCCGACAGAAATGAACCTATTTCACCAAAATCTAAGGAAACTCTTATAGCTGTGATTATGAAGCTGTTTCATAAAATGGTTGATATATCTAAACCATTTCATCTTACACTTCTGGGTTTAGCATTTACTAAATTCCAAGAACGCAAGACTGGCAAGAGTTCAATTGCATCTTTTCTGACCAATGATATATCTGTACAGTCAGTATTGAGTTTCAAAAGTGTGCTATCAGAAGCAGAGAAAATGGAATATTCATGCATACATTCACCTCCACATATTTGTGTGGAAAAATCAGATTCAGAATCTGAACCAGAACCGTCTCCTAAGAAAAGTCGAACGGGTAAAAAAAGATTTTCTAGTGAAGATGATTCTTTGCCCAACAAACTAATATCTGAAGGTTCTTCAGGTGATTATGTTGACAATGCAGTGTGGGAGGACAGTGGCTTAAAATCTCTTAATGAACAAGAATTGGTCACACAAAAAATACTTGCGGAAGAGTCGACTAGTGGAATCACAGGAACAATTTCTCTTGATTCACGGATGAATGCCTGTAGGAGTTCCGATGGAGTGCTTGATGTGGCAAATGACGAGTTCCAGTGTCCACATAATATAGATGTAGATGTCTTCCATGCATTGCCACATGACTTAAAGAAAGAACTGATGGGTGCGTGGAGAATAGGGAGGGACAAAACATCTCCAGTTTCTCTGTCTAAAGAAACCATGTTACATGCTAAACCAAAACAAAGGTCTATTTTGCAGTACTTTATTTCAAACAAGTGATATATTTATGCCATTTCATATAAATTATGGTAAATTATGTTGGTACTGCTGTCTCATTTTTTAACATTTATTATTATTGAGAATAAAATGTAATGTGTTGGTTTGCAAGATCATGATCCTATATATTTGCTATGCATTAACATTTATATAATAAAGTGATTGGTTGCGTGACTTCATCTGTACAGCCAGTTCCTTCCAATATTAGACTGTATCATTTATTTGAGTAATTATGGTGTATAGCATGCCACTCTGTTAAGATATATGTAACAACTGATGTAAATATGTGTACTTGTTGATAGTCATAACAGTGCAGCCTTAAAATTCAAGTTTTTCAGTATGTTTACAGCAGTGCAGTATGAAAAAAGCATTACAAAGAGGAAAATCTGTGTTTATTGCAAGTAGAAGTTAAAATTATATGCTGAGATACCCCATTGAGTAAAGTGAGTGACTGCCTCTTGGTTGGGCAACTGATTCGGTTTGAGTAATGCTGTGATTTTTCCACCTTGCCACCATATGTAGACCAGCACTGATCCGTCCATGCTCCTATTTAGTTGTTACTGGAGGGAATAAATCAGCTAGAATAAGAAGAGCTGACTAGTTACTTCCATGTAATGCTGAGATAAATGCATGGAGCTTTACTGCCAATCCCCCCATACATATTAATACCATGGTGATTAAGTACAGAGAGAACTTCCAACCAGGATATGGATTTGCCATGCCACTTGAATATTGTGACACTGTTCTTCCATAATCATTAAAAGCATCAGCAACAGGATCTAACTAATAAATTAAACTACCCTTAACATTATTTTTTTTATGTATTTCATTTCTTTCATTCTGAAGTGTAACCCTAAGTATATTGCAACATTGGTTTTATAATTACCATTTCCTGCATGTGTGAATCCACTTTCCTTCATGCCAGTTATAATAAATTCTTCTCGGGCTATCAGCTGTGTCAGGAGGTTAAAGAACTGCATTTTGAAAACCATTCTCATCCAAAGGGTACTGCTGTGGCTGGAAATCAATTCTGCGATATGTATACCTACCTACCACTTCAGTATCCTGAGGACGACGATGGTTCTCAAAAAAAATTTTGTTTGTTTTTGCTTTTCAACCACCTGATACATTTGGTAGCCAGAAAAGAATTTATTATACCTACTTTGTTGCCATGAAAGCTCTAGACCATACAGCATGCCGAACTTCTGCAACCAAACTGTTTGCTTTTTGAAGCCGCAAAAGTACATGAACCCCATATAACTGTGCTTTCTTTTAACTAGGGGTGTTTCAGGTAAGTTCATTAAACAATAAATATTGTCTTGTTAAAAAAGGCATTAGATGAATTTTCACTACACTAGTTCATTTATACATCAATAGTATTCATTAAATTTTAAGTAAACAATTATCACTCAAATAGTTTACTGCTATCTTGAAAAATAAATAATTTAACCAGTAGCCTAAGTTTACTTTATTTCAACTCTAAATAAATCGTGTTTCTGTTTATTATAAACTAGTTTGAAGATGAACCTGTAATTTCACTGCAAAATATCCAGAAAAAATTTCATATCTTCAGTTTAGTTTATAACATAAGGGAGCTTTATGTATCGATTAGAAACAGTGAGAAATGTCATAAAATCACATGATTGCATATTGTATAATTTTATTAAATTGAAATCTTAAAAAAAAACCATTTATCAAGGAATCATTAATACAACTTATGGAAGACAGCCACAAACAGCTGGCGCCAACATTACAATTATGACATTTACCACAGTATCTTCCAACCTTCTTAGAATTTACCCTCACATGTGACTACATTTCTGACAGCATATGATAAGTCTTTGTGATCCATGTGGTTGATAAAGTACAAGGTGTTTTAAGTAATGTTGTTAAGTGTAATAATTAATTAGTGTGCTTTAAGTAATGTAGTGAAGTGTAATAATTAATTAGTGTGACACAGAATTAATGAAGGCTGTTATAATAAGTTGCAGGTTAGTAGTACTAAAATAATATCAGATTATTTTTGTATTTAAATTTTACTTGGGTCTCTGACTTTAATTATTCCACACTGAATCAGCAGGCCAATACAGCCACAGTTTCAGTAAAAATTCATGTAGGATTGGACAAAATACTTTAATAGTTTATCACAGTTAAACAATCTAAATTTGTGATTTTGTCCAATCAACAGTGGCCAGCTGACATTAACATTAGTGCAGTAATTATGAGATATCTCAGTTGTAGCCTGTGTATTTCTCATTAAGGACATCTCAAATTATTTTAAAGGCAGTAAAACTGAATAACACATCTACATAATGTATGTGTCAACAAATTCCGTTTTTCTCATAATAATAATGAAAATAAGAAGTCAAGCCTGATACAGAACTCCACTACATGCTGCCACCCTTACGTTTGAATATAATCACCAGGATGGTCAACAGTATGGATGTTCAAGTACTGTACAGATACAGGTTTGTCTGACAAAAATGACATGCCTATAATAATGACAAGTATATATTTTATGCAAATTTGTAACTTTGGTTGAATAACTTAATTCCAGTTTAGTAGGTCCTATCATTTGAATCTGCTGATTTTATTTATACCTGTTGCTTTCTGTCATGAAGGTATGATTTAAACCACTGACCAGCTATATTTCAAATTCCATAAAAAATTAGTTTTGATAGTAATAATTCATGATTTACACAATCAGTAATGGCCACATTACACAAAGACATTCATGAATATATCTTGAACTTAACTTGCTATATATTTACAATAGCAAAGAGTGTTGTTTTAAATCCAATGAGAACAAAAAGGTTGTCAAATTATTTGCACAGAATGTTCTTTCCTGTTACCACTGCAACCAGCAACCGTATTCCATTAACTTGGGTGTGTTAATGTCATTTTCTGTATTAGATCAAAAGAAAAAGAATGTGCATAAGTTTTATAATCCTTTTTAATTTTACTAGCCATTTCAGTAATGCATAAAGTATTATGGCCAAAGGATATTCCAATTAAGAAAAGTGTTTAATAATAATCAAAGTTTGTATCATAATATTTTCTGTTTTGTTGAACTCCTGAAACTGTATAGTGTATTAAATATTCTGGATAATACTCGTTATCAGAAAATTTTACAATCACATGCCCATTTTCTTTTTGGGCAGTGTCGTATCTCAGTGCGCTCTGATCGTAACCAGGACTTATAAGAGGTGGGATGGTCATGTCCCCATGACCTACGGTAGTATTTGATATCAGAACTCTGACGAGAAACATCACCTTCACTGCGGCATTCTTGTCAGAATAATAGCTGGCATAGTGTGAAATGGGTGAGAAGGATACCCCTTTTCCATATCTGTTTCCCGTGCTATCACCATGAAGTCTCCAATCAAAGTTATTCTCGCAAATATCGTGTACATTACTTTGTCTTGTTCCATGGAAAAGTCTTCTTTCTTCAACATAACCTCCAAGTATGCACTCCATCTCACTTTTCTTTAATAGATAACAGCCTAACAAGTATGGATTTTGTATTCGTTCAATTTGAACGACGTTAAATCTCTTTTTATTTGTATTCTTGAAAAGATGTTTGACTGTGTTGTATTCTTGCGTAAACTGTGTAACATCAATCTTGATGAATGCAGAATTACTGGGCAGTGGACTCCAGTTTGCTGCTAAGGGCTGCTGAAGAATGGCTCTGTGTAGAGGTGTGCTGCTAATAGGTACAACACATCGCTCTTTTTCCCTCTGAATGGCTTGCCGTTTCTTCTCTTCCTCCAGTAACTGTTGTCTTCGTGCTTCAAAATATTGTGGGTACGCGGCATATTTTTGATCTTCATAAGAAGACTGAGCTTTGCTCTGGGATGAATATGGTCTGTGCGAAGTTGACTGGCCAGATGTAGCTGAATGAGTTTCTGTCTGCTGCTGCTGCAGACTACTGAAAAGGCCTCCCATGTTGCCCTGATAACAATTTTATGAATATTATGTACAGTCTAGCAATTATTTTTCCACTGGCCAATTGAAACCACTTTTTTTCAATAGAAAAATATTTCTAATTTGTTGAACAGGAAGGGACTGATAATCAACTTGTTTTCACAGGTTATATACGTATGGCTGTCAGCACATCAAACAGCAATTAAAGTCCCAAAATAATAATTTTGCCTGTTGTCTTGTCTTGAAAACAAGGTGCTCAGGAAGATATTTTGATCTAAGGGGGTGAAATAAGTGGGGAATTTAGAATATTGCGTAACAGGGAGTTTCGTGAATTGTACAGGTCACCTGGTATAGTGAGGATAATGAAATGCAGGAGGCACAGATGCATGCATTGGGTGAGACGGGGGGTGCATACAGGATTTTGGTAGGGAATACTGGAAAACAACTACTGGGCAGACAAAGAAGGAGATGGGAGGATAACAATTAATGGATCTTAGGAAAGTGGGCTGTGAGAATGGCAAATGGATGGAGTTTGGCTCAGGGTCGTGGCCAGTGGCAGGCTTTGGTGTTGTCGGTGTTGAACCTGCGGGTTCTGCTACCAGGGAGTTAGACTTTAATAACATCATCTTGAAATTATGTACCTTTAAAAATTTCAAACCAAATTTTATAAGTTTTCATCAAGAGAAACTTGGAAACAATACAGTCAGTAACAAGGGGGCCGTCCTTTCACAATTTCAGAGGGTGCTCAAGCATTACAAATTCCCCCTCCGGCCAATCTCAAAGGGCTCAAAAGGCAGAGATGACAATAGAATTTGAAGAATCTTCGTCAAAACCAACCTGACCACACAGAACTCAAATCATTTCCACTACCAATCAAACACGCAGAGCCCGGAAGCTTTGTGGAAAACTAAACATTCAACAACATATTTTTCCAGACCTAGTACCTACTACCTTATAAAACTTTTTTTCAGAAAAAAATCAGAAACAAAATATAAAGTTAGGAGTACTCACTTGCTTGCGTCACAGAATTTACTTCCTTTCACGATCGCTGACTCTTATTTCCAGCGTTTTGTTACGAGAAATGTTCTCTCACCAGCAGCGTACTGAAACTGAGACAGTGCACGAGTGCTGAACGACAGAAGTGCGGGAATACCCTAGTGACGTAAAGAGCGCACGAAGGCCACGAGAGTCCACGTGACATTTGTGTGTCTCAACCTTCGAGTAAGGCTCGATGCACACGAGCGAGTTATTTTCGCGAGCTCGCCGCGTCATTTTCTCGCGCGTTTTAGCAGTACATGTGAAGCAATGGAGCAATGCACACTATGGCGGTGACGCCGCGAGTTCGCCGATCGCCGCGAAGCAGCAGACTGTGTGAAAGCATTGGGCAGTGCACACGTGCTTCGCAACCCTCGCAACTGCTCAGAGTCACAACCAGCATTTCTAGAGGTATTGCAAGCCTCATCGCAGAATCTTTACTTTTGTTGGATGCATCCAGTTTTGCTGCTAGCTCATCAAACGACTTTATACTCATACGACAATAATTATGAAATTTACTTTCATCTTCTCTTAAATCTATAAACATTGTCACGAACGCCCCTTTTAACAGCCGTGAACTAACCAACGGGTGTGTCCAATACTTCCTATTGCGTTTTTTAAGGATGTATTCATAAACGAAATAGGCAAACACTACACGTTTTCTTCTGTACACATCCATTTTGGTTGCCATCCAATCTAGTACTGGTGGGAGTTTTTCGGCGAACTCGCAGCGATGACGCTACGTGTGCACTGTCACGGGTTTCCTCGCTGCGAGCTCGCGCGACATTTTCTCGCTCGTGTGCATCGAGCCTAACTTCAAGCGACAGTGTGTTGTTTTCTACAGACAAATCTGATAAAATATTTAACAAGAGGTTGGCACACAAAGACATGACCCTTTACTTCAGGAACTACTTTCCGCTCGCAGGTGCAACGCGAAAGAGTTCCTCAACTTGAAAGCGATACCTATTTCCGTTATCATTGATGCGTCTTGCCTATTGAAATTTCAGGTTTGGTGCAGATCGTCAATTTTCAGTTAGGCGAGTCCCAGGCATGGAAAATTTGAGAGTTCATATTTACAAATTATTGCATTCTACACAAATCATAGGCCCTATTTTGCCAATTCATATAAGCCTGCCTTAACATCTGTTTCAATATGCGTTTATTGTTCCACTTTTGTGTCTCTGCTGGACGACCTTGGGAGAAATTCCCTCGGCGAATATAGTCACGG